TAGGTTGTTATAACTTTTTTAACAAATTTTTAATAATTTCATGAACGACACGAATATGAATATTTACAATCTTTTTTCTTTCTAAATCCTGTTATTAATTCTTAGTGATTTTTAATAGCATATTAATAAACAGGCGATATAAGAACATGTGGAAAGCTAGCATGAAAGTCGCCAGCAACGGCATGTACGATATCGAGTCGGTCATGCCTTTTCAATCACCGCGTGTAACAGGTCGTTGTGTAGTGGAATTCTTTTCCAATAATAATTCACCTGAGATATCGTAGGACGCGATTATACATGATATAAATAGATTCTTAATGGGCGCGTTTGAAATTGCAATTATTGTACGAACGATCGTTTTGCATTCGATTAACTTGTCGTTTCTTTATCCTCCTCACTATCTGGCCAAGCATATTCAATGTAAAAATAATTGCACATATATTTATCGATTTTTATAAAGAAATAATTAAATTTTATAAATGAAGAATGTGATTGTGCGATATTCATTCGATAATCTTATGACTCTTGTTTATTCATTGCTTTCAAATTGTAAAATAAAAAAATATAGAATAAAAATTCTTGCAAATTATATTTAAATAATTTTCGATAAAATATAACATTTACAATCAATAGAATAAACTTATAAAACATATTGAAAGTTATCCTCTCGTTTTGGGAAGAAATTAAATTATATTTATTTTTAGAATAGAAATAAATATGAGAGATACAATTTTTCTCTAAAAGAAGAAAATAATTTTTTTCAGTATATTTTATAAGTTTACTCTAATTCTTATTATTAATTTGACAGTTTGTCGTAATTGTAAACATAGTTTATTTCGTTTTTGATTATTTTTATTTCTTGACTATAATGCAGGATTTACAATAGAAGCCGCAGCGGTCGTAGGGTCTTAAATCGTAGAAAATTAATCAATCAGAATCGATTATTCTTCTCATATTTGATTGTGATTGATTAATTTTCTACGACTTAAGACTCTACGACTTCTATTGTAGATCCCGCATTACTTGTATTGCTATCTTTTTTTATAATTTTTACTTTTTGATGACTCTGTTTCTAACATTATATCTATTACATATATTCACACTGTCTATTACAACTATTCTGAGCATTTTTCTCAACATGTTGAAAAACATAACTGTACGGACTTGTCGGTGAGTTTTTTTTATCAGAGTGACGGTTTGCTTGCCTATATTATCATGTTGTAACAAATTTATATTTTTTACAATTTATATATATTTTTTATTTTTTGATTCTTCAAATAAGATAAAAAACATCTCGGGCTTTTTGATTTTCATCAGATTATCGAAAAATTACCAACAATCGATCGTCCAATCGTTTGCGAGCAATTTCTGTTTCTCTATAAGGCACTCAGCAGGCCTTCTCTGACATATTACCTGTATGTATAATTTATAACTTCTTCTATCACTGTGTTCCTCATTTTATAACATTTCTGAGTTTATTTCAATATCTGAAAATGGTTCGATATTGTAGCCGAAATATGTAATATTAAGAATTTTATGTTTTAATGTATCTTTTTTTATGATTTTTGTAACTGATTCTTATATGGCCTTTCTATTACTTATATTATTATTTGACGTTAAAAGTCCTTGATTACAATTAATTTGCTTAAAGTTTTTTGTGCGCCCTAATTTCCAGATGTATGTATAATTATTTATTAATATATGAAACAAAAGAAGTTTTCGCTATATTTTACAAGTCGGTTCTATCGAGTAGATTGGAAGTGTTATTTTATTAAAACATATTTCCGTATTAATAGATTTTTCAAAAATTTTTATTGTGTATTTTCTCGCTTTTGACGTCTCAATCTGGTTGTGAGATAGTAATAGTAGTGAATAAACGGGAACTTTAAACATTTTGAGAAGTAATTGCTTTTTGATTTCTGTATCTCTAAATTTGTGTATTTATTATCATGTTTTTTTAAGAAAAAATTCGCCATTAGAAATCTCAATAATTGACACAATAAAAATCGAGATAAAAATCAGTCAGAATCTGTACGAGATAGAGCTTCAAGTAATAAAAAATAATTTCTTATACGTAGGACGTATCTTCCGAGAATGTAACTTTCTCTGTCTGTACCTTCTCAGAAAGAATTTTTAATAACAAGACAAAAAATTCTTTACGGAGTATAAAATAAAATGACATTAAGATTAGATTAATAATTCTTATTCTACTTCCTTGAATCAAATATAAGATTGACTTATTGTCTTGAGACAAAGGTAACATATACAAAAAGTTTATATATTCTTACGTTTAGAATAAATCTTTACTGGAAGTCATAATGCATGCTGGAGAATTTGGCACGAAACCGATGTCCAAAATCATTTTATTCTATATAGATTTACGAATTTTCATTTAAGAAAAAAATATTCCTCTGTTAACAATAGATATGATTGTCCGTATATCAATCATATTTTATGATAGATCGAAGTAATAGCATTGGATTCGAAAATCTTTTCTATAGGAGTATTTGCGTTTATAACTTTAAAGAAAATCCATTTTTGTGCCTCGTCGTAACAAATGAGCCCCGGAATTTCCGCGACAATTCCTTCGCGCAAGAAGCGAAATTACTTCCGGTCGTATTAGCAAAGAGACCCCGAATTTGCAAAGGCTTAAACGAGTTTAAACAGTGACCTCGCGCGGTGTTATCCCTGAAACGGATAGGAGCAGCATTACGCTGATTGTTCGGGTTAGCACGTTAGAGCAGCGCTTGCCAGGAGAAGAGACTGAAATTTCATTCTTTTTAGCACGCGTTCCCGCTTAATGACACCCTGACTCACGTTCGTGAATATTCTTAATAATCTTAATCGGGCTTCGTCGGCATAATCATTCTTCTCGTCTCCGTAACGTCACTCCGGGAGTGACGCGAGCAGGGAAACGTTATAATCATACACTGTTCGACATCTAAGAGCAGACAAACAATAATCTACGCATGAGCAGAAAAAAGTGCACACAAAAATCACGTGGACTGCGTTGAACGCGGCTGGATAATTTTTCACCGGTAACACGATCAAGTAGGTCTGTGGTTTAGCTTTTAGTATCATTACGTTTCCGCGATTTCTATAAAGTCTTAAAGGAAAACTTCCTATGCAAAAAGATTATATCTTAGACATTCTGCAACGATCAACATACAAGATATTATTAACATATCGCTATAAAGCATTTCACTCTTATCTCCCATTTTCTATATCTATAACAAAACTATTCTGTCATATAGGTTAAAACAAAAATACATTATATAAGCGACAATATGTTATACAATTCTGATAAGATATGTAAGTTGATTATAAGAAACAAAAATTTAAATAATATTCATTGTTACAACTTATTATTTACAATTAATGATAAATTCTGAAATCTAAGCTGTTCTTGAAATTGCTCTATTCTTTTTAGTTTTCTATAAAAAAATGCTGATGAATCTCTTTAATGATTTCTTCTTCTTATAATTCTTTTAATTATATAGAAAATTTTAAATAGTATATTTTAGTATAGTTTTTATTTTATTTATAACTTGCATTAAATTCCTTTGTTCCTCATTTAACTGTAGAATTTCTATATCTTTTTTTTATTTAAAAATGTATAATATATAAAACTACTGAATTTATTAATGATTTATTCAATGCAAAAATTCCAAGAGGTAACAGTCATACACCTCAACAAACTGCTATTTCATAACATACTAACTCAAGTCCCCAGGGTTGTCACAGATATCATTTGAAAGGTATTTAGATATAGGTTTAGGTATTACGTGGAAAATATATTTAGGTATAAGTACAGATACATTTTTTATAATTACCTAAGTATACAGATACAAAAAAAATATCCGAAAATTTAGATACTTTTAGTTAAAAAAAAAAGGAAAAAAAGAAAAATGGGAAAGTAGGAAAAAATAGAGAAAACAAGAAGAGGAAAAGATATGAGCAGCGTAAAATATGCTACATTTTATTTGTTTATTTTAATACATAAAAGAATGTCTCGATAATGAAAATTTAAGTCGAAAACAACAAGCTGCGTTCATATACAGAATGTCTCCGACCTACGAGATCACTTCTCGTGAGGTATAGAACGGACTAAACTAAGTCGAAAAATTCTTTATCATTTTGCAATTTTCGCAATACTTTAGGAGATATTAATTTCTAAAGATTACCAAATAAGCACGCAAAGTGATATTTAGAAATTAATATCTCCTAAAGTATTGCAAAAATTGTACAATGATAAAGGACTTTTCGACTCAGTTCAGTTCACTATACCTGCTCATGAGAGGCGATCCCGTAGGTCGGGGACATCCTGCATAATTACATGTAATATTATATAATTTTATGTAACTATTGAAATTACATAGGATGCTTTCCATTTGATGACACAAATCGACACAAGTTGACACAAGCGTCGTTCTATCCTTCTTGACATTCAGAAAGTGACATTCAAAGATAGAATGACCCTTGTGTCGACTAGCGTCGACTTGTGTCATCAAATGAAAAGCGCTCATAATTTTGTAAAACTTTTTCTCCCGGGCGATGAAGCAAATGAAAGCACTTGTACGAAGTTAAGAATTAGAGAAGAAAGATGATTTATAGTATAGTAATCAAAAATTAAGTTTCTAATATGACATAAAATAAAATGTATAACTATCTTGTACCTACGTATCTCCTCCTATAAGGATCTAGGTAATACACTTAGGTACAGCTAAAGTATCTAGATACTTTTACTTACATACGTTCCAACACGGCAAATCTCTTATTATAATATTTGTATTCAGTACAATTTCAAAACACATTTCTTCAAATTGGAAGATTCCAAAAGTTTATTGTTTATTTACGTTTGTATATCTAATTTCGAAGGATTTATTACCTCCTTGTCTTTCTTCAGAGTACGTAAGCTTGTAATAATATCCACGAAGTGAGACGTTTTGTACCGCAGTACAAGTCAAGTAAGAGAATTTAATAGAAACTATCCGAAACAGGATGACGAGTTGGAGTGCATTGTTTGTCGCGGCCGCCGTCGGGATTCTGTTGTTGACGACCGCGACGAAACGCTCGGAAGCGTGCAACGAAGCGATCTGCGCCAGCGTCGTGAGCAAGTGCATGCTGACGCAGAGCTGTAAGTGCGACCTGGTCACCTGCACTTGTTGCAAAGACTGCTTCTCGTGCTTGAGCTATCTGTACGACGAGTGCTGTTCGTGCGTAGGTAAGATAATACTGAGGATAATCAAATTTTTCTCGATATTTCAATTTACCAGATGTATTGTATTACTGCTATTAGAAATTGAGTCCATCCTAATAAGATAGTAATTTATTAAAAGCTATCAAATAATAAAAATTACAAAATACAATACACAAACGAGCATTTAATTGCACAAACGGATGAACTGAGAAAAAGTTGAAAAACCAAGATTTGGACTATAACTAACGCTGCATTAATTTTAGACAAAATTTCCCTTTATTTTAAACAAATTGATTTTGAGTTAATTAATTTTATATAATTGATTTAATACAAAGAGCTTTTTAAACTAAGGTCGAAACATTTTATAGATTCTTATAAAAAGAATTTTGATAATCATTCTGAGATAAGAATGAGTGATTCGCGGAGAAAGGTTCAATTTAGATATGCTGAAAAGTTTTCATGTCATTTAATTATGAACTAAAATGCGGCTCAACATAAAAATAAATGTATATAAAAGTAAGAATAAAAGATAAGACGATTTAAATATATTCCTAATTTGATTAGTGTACTAATAATCAACATTTCATAAATATTGGTAAATATCATATATGACTAGTCGCTATGAAATGTACGTTGAAAATAGTTATAAATTGCATTCTGATGTGGACTAAAATAAATTATTTCTTCTTCGATCACTATTTCAAGCATATTCTCTATAATTCTATAAAATATATCGATAATATACTATAAAATATGTCACTCTTGAAATAACTTCTGTGTAAAAAATAAAATTTATAATAATTAAAATAATTATAAGTTATTAAATATTACTAACGATTTTTAATTTATTGGAATACTTCGTACGTGAGAGAGAATGGGCAGGTATCTAATTTATAAATCGTCTCCCCGGTTTAATCCTACTTTTCTAAGGATAATTTTCATACATCCTTATACATGATGTAACACTTTTCTATGGGTGTGCAGATTTATGCCCGAAGCCAAATATCACCGACAATCCGTTGAGCAGGAAATCTCACGTGGAGGAGTTCAGCGAGCCAGTGCCAGCGCTTTTCCAGGCACTCACGGCTGAGGCGGATCCGCACGAGAGATGGCTCACCTTCACATATCCGGTAGACTTTGACATGACAGTGTTCGCGCCGAAACACGAGAACGAAATGAAATATCATATACGTGAGTATCGAAATTGCACCACCGAGAGAAAGTGCGCCTTCTACCACACGATTCCTTATACCATACCTGAGAATCATTAGAAACTGTCGATGCAAATTGGTTAATCGGCCGATCACGCGTGTCGCGTGCAAATAATTCATCAGAACGAATATTATGTAGAAAAAGAAACAACTTCTTTGCGGAATACGTAGCGTAAATTAGATAACGCAATAAGTATCGATGAGCCTCTCAAACAGAATAAAGTCACGATAATGTGAAAATGACATAAAAATGAATCAATGAATAACTGATCGAAAAATGACTTTTAATAACACTGTTCGACAAAAAGTCATTTTTTTCTTTTCAAAGTGTCTTATTCCGAAGATATTAAGTTGGTTAAAACTCATCTTAAACCATTCTCTAAGATTCCACAACGTATGATATCTTCCTTTTACTAATACTTCTTTTTTTATTTTTCCTTCTATAATAAGCCATAGCAGTTCATATCTTTTCTCTCTTATTATATGACCAAGATATTCTAGTTTCCTCTTTTTAATCCTTGATATTTCTTTCTTTTTGTTTATTCTATGAAGTACTTCTCCATTCGTTACATGCTCCACCCAAGAAATACGCAGCAATGATACTTCTGTATAATAAATGTATCTTTCAATTTATTCATCTCCGCTTGTTTAAATGTCTATGCCTCTCAACACCATATAATAATGCTGAGAAGATATAGTAACGTAACATTCTTATCCTTATGCTTATGTCTATATTCCTGCAGCAGCAAGCTTTCTCGTCCTCAGGAAAGTAGTTCTTGCAATTTTCAATGCGCGCTCTTATTTCTTTTGATTGTGCGACGTTTTGTGTGAGAGACATGCTCCAAGACATTTATACTGATCCACTCTTTTTATCTGCGTTTCCGAAATAATTAATTCTTCGTTTAAGTTTAGGATTCTCAATCCCGATCCATTATGCAAATTTTAACGATGGCATCATATTCAGCGCGAAAAAATCTTCAGAATATATACTATGAAACTTCGGAGAGAATTTAGGTATTAAACAGTGTAATTATTTTGGAATCATTTTGATATTAATTATTATGGCTTTTTGTTTTGATTGGGCGACTGCGACGCGTTAAAGATTCTGTAATAGTTAAAGCTCATTGAGATGCTAACGATGTTGATTATAGATGCCATGAGTTAATGACACGTTTTGATTGGCAGAGGCCGCGAACGAGGAGCTGCATCCGTTGAAGCCAAACGTGATGACGGTGAACTGCACGGTCGCGTTCATGGCGCAATGCAATTCCTGGAACAAATGTCGGGCGTCCTGCCAGAGCATGGGCGCCACGAGCTACAGGTGGTTCCACGACGGCTGTTGCGAGTGTATAGGCGATACGTGCATCAACTACGGAATCAACGAATCGAGATGCACACTGTGCTCACAGGGGGACAAAGAGGAGGAAGATGACCTGAAGGACACGCAAACGGCGTATGACGATTACGGTCAGGACGAAGACGAAGATGTGCTGGGCGAAGACGTAGAGGATTAGTCATCGCGTTCGTCTTCTGGCATTCTTCCGTGCAAAATATATGCGACAAGGGAAAAAGTGTTTGTGTGAAAGACATTCCGATAAAATTACGATCGCGAGATTATTTGTTCTTGTAAAGAAGTCCATCACACATCTTGTAAAAGACTTTACTACAATCTTGATATTTGGAGTTTTATCTTTTAGGAAATCGTTTAGTGTTTACGACTTCATGATAACAATAAGTTAGTGAATCTGCGACTTAGAATTACTTTGCATGGGTGTTTCCCTTATAATCTGATTCTCTGAACACAGCGATTCGCTCGAAAATGACTTTGAATAATCCGGAAAATCGATCGCAACTGTGACAAAACTTATAAGTGTAAGCCTAATTTTAGAGTGTTGTCCCTAATTTAAAAGGGATTTTAACAAATTTTATAATTTAATATGCGAAATCGCCGATTATCGACTGTAGGAATATAATAATCTAAATAATCTACGCGTATCAAGTGCGAACGCAACTCTTGTTGCGAGGCACAAGTCTTGTTGGAGAGGGTCTTATTTGTACACGACTGCGACGTATAATATATAATATTATAAAAAACAATATTATAATATATAATATTATTTTTTTTTACTAAGTATGCACTCGGGCAATGCTAGGTTATTCGTATAATACGAAAATCTTTATTATATCGCGCGCGTCCGTGCCATAAAATTGTACAACAAATCGCTCTCGATCAAAAAATCGAGATCATTTTACACATGTAAGACCTCTCTCAAAATTCCTCTGGGAAAGAACATCACAAATTACAGTACCGCTAATAAATTTCCGGACATTCTGTAAAGCAATGCTTGCAGGAACAGTTTTAAAGCTTTGCCACTTACCGTATATTACTACGTTTACGTGACTCGATTTATGTCGAAATTGTAACATTCGATATTATAACTACTGACGTTAGATGCCGTGTAAACGCTATTTTACGACGATGTTATATTGCTGTAATAACTTCGTCGTAAAATAGCGTTTACACGACATCTCACGTCAATAGTTATAACATCGGCGTAAATTGGACCGTAAACATAGTCTATGATGAAGTTTAATGTCATCTTATTTAAAAATATTTTATATGTAAAAGCTGTTTAATAGTTGTAAAAGAGGTACATAAGAGAAAAAAATAAGATTAGTAAAGATCCCCGAAAATAAATTAAAAATCGTTTGAAATAAAATTCGTAGAGATAGATTAACAATGACTCTATTTTATTTGACTTTTATTTATGTAATACGCAGATATACTGAATTCTATTTATATAGTATAGGATATGTATGAAGTGTTCGAAAATTTACGAGCGGTAGCACTGCGCATCTCTAGGACAATTGATGTACACGCAATAACGATAGGTAAAACACGTCTCTTCGAATGGAATGATATGCTTCAGGATCGACAGTAATGAGTGCTTTCTATTTAGTGACACAAGTCGACAAAAATATCATTTTATCTTTCTTAACATTCAATGAGTAAAATAAAGACATACTTCTTCTTTTTAATCTCTTTATGGTTTTCCGACCCACCATGAAAGGTCATAGCACCATATGATGAAACAGATCCGAAGATCTAGTGACAGCCTCCTCGAGGAGTAGAGGCTACACGTAGTTAGATCGTAGCAATCCTGAATCCTGATGTCAAAACTGCTTCACGTAACGATATCCGAGACCTCAGGATCCAATCCGAGTTGGAACAGATCAGCGACAAAATCCTCGTTGAAGGTTGCATAGTACAGATGATAAATCTAGAAATCTTAATAATACTACCATCTGTACTACACGACTTTTGAGGATTCTATCGCTGATCGATTCCAACTCTTGTCGAATCTCCGTCAAAAGTCGCAAGATCAGAATTATTAATCTGATAATCCAACTTTTTTTCTTAACAATAATATCTTGCAAGCCTTTAACTCTCCACAGGAATCTTGATGTATGAATCTCAAGATGACGAGAGACTATGGAAATCTACACCTCGTATGACGCAATAGGTTTAACCTGCCGATAATATGGATAGAAACAGTCCCTCTTATAAATTTACAGATGAGTCAGACTCCTGAGGAGAATAATCTCAAAATAAAGACTTAAATCAGTATTGTGAAGGATCCGTTTAGAAATCACTAGCTATCCGGTTAGAAATCAGTAGCTTATCAGAGACGTTTCCCTTTTGATGATCAAGAACGGAATCCCGAGTAACAAGGATATAACGACACTTGTGTCGACTTGTGTCATTAAATGGAAAGCATCCAATGATGTTTAACGAGATGCGTGCGAAGAAGTTACTTAAAGTTCGCGTTATCCGACAGAGCGCGTGAATAACGATCGCATACACGTGCACTTTGGTGTTAAGTGGGATTTGAGAGAACGCTGAACGGAGAAGAGTAATCCTCGTAAATGAGTGAAACGATATTCCTCAATTGGGTCATGCGTACATCTGTATATACGAGTTTTAACAACATACAGAACGTTTATTTTTTTAACGCAGACGGAACTACACTTCGTAATACTTATTGAATTAATAAAACTCTTTAAATACGATAAACACTTTTAACATTAGAATTACCAAAGTAGTCAAAATTGGTTTCTAATAAAAAGAATTACTCAAATTTATAATGATGCATTTTCTGATATTTTTTTAAATATTTCCATGATTTTAAATATTTCCATTTTCTTTTAATGTGTGTTTAAATGATTAAATTGATCAATTTATTTTCATTCCTGTTGTCCAAAAAAAGAGATACATATTTTATTTATTTCATCCCTTTTTAAAAAAAGGTATATAGTATATACTTAATATATAGTATACTTAAATAGTAGAAGTTAATCGTTAGTAGTTTTAATGTTAAATGCTCTTCTGCGAACTCCATCACATGATTGATTGTACCGTAAGTATTACAAAGTGGGCAGTCTGTATAACGTTCTTTATACATATATTTTTCTATCTTTAATTGCACACTCTCAATACGCACGTACTAACTCGCGCCGTCACAAATATCAAACATGTATACATCACAAATAAAATTGATCGCATCTCTATTAAGTGAATTCACGGATCAACAAGATTTATCGTGGCAATGGTTTAATTTTGGATCACTGAATCATTTGAATGAATCGCGAAATACAGAAAATCTCCAAATACAACAAGATATGTATACAGGAGATTCCTTGTGAACAAATAAAGCGTAAACTAAAAAAGCTTTATGTTTTTCAAAAATAATTTCAAAAGAAATATATTGAGTTTGTTATATTTTCTCAATGTGCAAAATATTTCTTCAAAGATATTTCTTAGAAAGGGTCATTTCATGGTTCAGTAATCCAAAGGTTGAGTTTTCTCGGATACATTTTGGATATGAAGCAAAAGTATCAGATATTTAAGTGGGTGGATGTTCGTCTTGTACTTCGTTGCTCTCCGGCAACTTGATGAAGGACAGATCGCCGCCGCTCCACATCGAGTATAATTGTGATCTCGTGCACTCCTAAAATCAGCGACGTTTATGCTGTATAAGAGAGGAGGGCAAGAGAATAAGCGACAGACTAGTTTCTATGATAACATCGAATTGTCGTGTAACATAACAAAAGAGTGTAAATAGAAGAATGTAACCGCAGCGAGTAAAGCCTGTACGTTAGTAAAGACTACGTATTAAAGACAGGATTGCGAATTGAAGATTAATATTCGACCAAACAGAATGAAACGGATTAAAATTAAAAGAATCTAATTAGTTAAATTTCAATCCTCAATCTCCAATTCATAGTCTGATACGGGCTTCAAAGTTATTCGTACGCTATCATTCTTTTTTTTTCAACTGCATGCATCTTATATGTATCATCTTGTAGCATTGCGTCTTATTGTTAGCCATTTTATTTAAATCTTCTTTTTCACATTTCTTGTATATATACGTAAAATTTATCTTTACTCTGGATTATGAAATCCAAACTTTGTGATGTGAAAATAACAGTGTACGAACATCTTTTTTTATCACTGTATACCGGTGTCTTAGAAGATACCAGTTTAATAAACTTAGATTTACTAACATTGTATTCTCTCTCTCTCTCTCTCTCTCTCTCTCTCCCTCCCCCTCTCTCATTCATTTACTCACTCACTCACTCTCAATTTTCTTTCTCTCCATGAGTGAGAAAATAACTGAACTCATTTATTTACCCCGCCACCCGCGCTTTCAGAACCTGATCGGCTGTGTGCCGAGACGCAAGAGTCGGTCGACGAGCTGCTCTTGCGAGACGGCAATGTATCAGCTGTACCTTAAAAAAAAATGTTCGATATGAGATCATCGCGCTCAATCGAGCCTTAACGCCACTCTCGAAACATTCTAGCGATATGAAATATTACGAGCACGATGGTTAATGCACTCACCGGCTTCGGTTTCTCTATGATCGCAATGAGAGTGAATGCTGTCCTTGCTATCGCCGTGACTGCCGCTGGCACCGCTCTGTTCTGTAGCAATATTACGACAGGATCAATCCCTTCGCGATCTCTTATCAGACTAACAACTTTATCATCGCGATAAACGACGATGAGAGAAACTTTACCCGAATCCCTGTGTTCGCTGTGAACACTGTGATCGCTATCACGATGCCCGGATTGATCGGAATGGTCACTGGAGTCCTGAGGCCAACATCTAGGTGAACCTATCCTACGCGATCCCGACCAAATAGCGGAGTCGTAATTCGAGTCGAAATTGCAGGTTGTCAAAGTGACGCCCGGGATATGCTGACTAGTGTAAGCCGAGAGTTGATTGGACGACCGAACTCCTGCACAACGTACAACCTTCGAATCGTAAGATTCGAGAACGCGAAAAACAAGATAGCTACACTGAAAGAAAAGATTGGCTGCTGCAGCAAATCAGATGACAAAATATGACATAGCATTTTTAATTGGCTGCTTGCCATCTAATTTGCTACAGCAGCCAATCTTTTTTTTCAGTGTACAATTTATATTTATATTCGTCAAATATGTCTTTTTGATCTTACAAAAATCAGACAAAATTACGAAAGAAAGAAAAGTCGTTTTACAAAAATATTGAATGTTCAGTACTCGAAATCGAGCATTCGCCTTCAAACAATTATTTTAAATTTTAAA